TTTTTTGTTGTTGAACTATATGCATCACGAGCGCATGCTTGTAATCGTATGATTAATGCATAGGATTAGAGGCTATTGAAAGCTTTGAGAAAAGCACCATTGGTTTCTTTTTATTTTTATTTTTTATGAGCTTAGAATTTGGTCATGGGTAACTGTTTATTTTTTTGGCTTTATAAGGATAGACATAAACATGTGTATGATGGGTCTGCAAGGATGTGTAACTCGTAGGTATTTCGTTTTTGTGAAAAAGGTTACTATGAGGTAAATAGTGCTCAGTTTGTAGCACTTGCTTTATGAAAAAGGGTCTGCTGGAATGATTGATTGAGCATAGAATGAGAAATTTGCTCATCATGAGCTCGAGTAATAGATTGCATGATGCTTCAAAAATTTTGTTGTTTATGCATTTCGAGTGGCATGAGATAGCTTGGTTAGCTTGGCCTGTAAAGTTCATATGGCTTGCATGCTAGTGTGGAGATTTCTTGGCTTCTAACACAGAGATTCTTTGCCCTTTTGCAGCGTACTCTTTGTTGGTAATTCTTGTAGGAATTCACGTAATAAGACACAATGATTTCTGTGATCAGTGGTGGCATATTTCCCCTTGCACGATAGGTTGAAGTATGGACTTTATTCAACGGATGATAAATTGAAGAGGGGAAGGCCCCCTCCATTTCTCAAGAATGTTTGTGAAGATGTTGCAGTAGGCGAAGAGCCAGTGTCGTCTTGCTGCGTTTGTATCATTATGGTTCGGGAAATTCCTCCTCTGTGACTTTTCCCAAGATTGTCCGCATGCGTAGGTGTTCCCCTTGGCTTTAGCAATAGCGCATGGCGGCATGATTCCCATAGCCCCTATGTTCTTGGGACATCCGATGCAGGGGTAGACAATGCCCTGCTCCTTCTAGCAGTGCTGCCTCATACTCATCATTTTCTTGGAACATCCAACATAGCTGCAGGCACTGCCCTGCACCTTCCAGCAGTGCTGCCTCCTACTCATTCTCTTCTCAGAACATGCGACATAGCTGCCAACGCTGCTTTGCATCTTCCAGCGTGCTGCCTTCTACTTCTCCTCTTCTCTAAACATCCAACATAGCTGCCGGCACTGCCCTGCACCTTCCAGCAGTGCTGCCTCCTACTCATCCTCTTCTCAGAACATGCGACATAGCTGCCGGCGTTGCCTTGCTTCTTCTAGCGTGCTGCCTCCTTTTATTTCGCAGGTTGTTTTCTTTGGCTTGGGGTCAATTGGCTCAGTGCACAGCTTCCATCTTTCTTGATACCATAGGATGTACTAATTTCGAGCATGTGTAACCTTGTTTTCGCGATGGCTGTGTACTTTTCAGATAATCTAACGATTATGTCATTATGACTTTGTAATGTACTACTGAACCACTGGAACTTGCATTAATTTCTGAATGCTTGAGGC